TAAAACAAGGTCTTTGTCTGCAATGATTAGACATGTTTTTTATTATTGTCATCAGTGATTATCTCAATTTCAGCTAAAAGACTTGACAAAATCCTACACACTGTGCCTTTAAGATGTTCGGCTAATTTCGATGTGTTAGTAGAGTCATCCTCAACACATTTTCTGAATAACATCAGTTTCAGAGTTCTAAGGTTCATAAATATCACCCCAAGCTGGTTTTTTATGGTTTTGAACTTTTTTTCATGAGATTTGTTGACAAGTCAGAACAGTTTCTCCCTCTTCATACACCTTATTTACATACAGCAGTACGATCTTTGGATTATAAAAATGAATTTCAACTAAAACAGTCGTTCATTCATCACCGGCGTCCTCCTGGTGCTGGTTTCATCAGGATCCGGGCCGTACACAGACATCAAAGTGAACCTGCGTGATTAGTTTTCTACATTCTGCAGACATTAAGATGATTTGACCCGTTTGAGCTGAAACCCGATTCTCTTCACGTTTGAGCGTCTGCACGTGTCCCTCCAGTGTGTTCCTGCTTGTGTGTGTGTTAAAACATCACTGCTGCTATCTCTACTGCTGCTGCTTCCCATGGCCACGCCCCCTCCTGTCCATCCTGTTCCCTCCACTCATCCAGAGCCAGGAAGTGGATCTGACCCTCTGTAGTCACAGCCACAGGTGTCGGGACTCATATTTTACTCTTTTTGGAAGAAGTTGGAGGCGCGTCAGCTGCCCGCTGCAAATATCCTCCCGACACCTGGGGGCGTCTGAGCGCATCGAGCTGCTTCAAACTTTTCTTTTAGTTATCTTTTATTATTATTATTATTATTATTATTATTGTTATTATTATTATTATTATTATTATTATTATTGTTATTATTCAGCTCGTTCTTTCTGTGCAGTCAGAGCTCGTAAGCTGAGGATAAATGAGATGAATTTTATGTTTTCTACCAGGAGGTTTGCATGTTACTAATATGTGAGTAAATACGGTGCCTAACGTTCATGTTTGAGCAGATCACACCCGAGTCCCACTGCTGCTTGGAATCTGCAGACGCTTTACCTCGGCGAGGACACCACCTGCTGCCTGARGGCCCAGTCTTTTAGTTTTACTGAATTAAAAGCAGGTTTCTGGTCATAACGCTTAAGTTGGACTGAACCTGATGTTATTATTTTTAAATTTCATTTCAAATCTGCATCAAACCAAGATTTAGTGACGGAGGAGGAGCAACAGCACGCCAGCTCCTCCTCATTTCTCTGACCCTCAGCTTGTCGGGTCCGACCCGAGCGTGTCCCCCCCTCCACCCCACCCCCATCCAGAAGCACCTGCAGCCGTTCCAAGCAGTACCCCGTGCGACCCGCGTGTGGAGCAGACATAGGAACCCACTTGCACTCAAAAAGCTCCCACCTTCGTTGTGCCTCACTTCTAACGGTGCTTTTTTCAGTAGTCTGTCTTTCTTTATGTTTGTTTGTAAGGTGCTGTATATAACTTGAATATATTATGCACATATCCTACCCAATGGGTAGAAACCACAAAAAGATGTTGTGAATAATGTAATATAATGTATAGACAGTTTAAGAATTTTAAGAGGGCAGCATCAAATTTGTAAATGCCTACATTTAAATAGAAAAATGTGCTTTTTTTTCTTTTGTTTTCTTTTGTTTGTTTTTTTAAGCAAAACACGGTTTTCAAAATATGCTTAGAAACTGATGGCAACACAAATTACTACTTATAATATTTTGCTATAAATAACCATGTTATGAGGTTGCACAGATGGTTTCAGAGACTCTGCATCCCTCCATCAGTCTGTTTCTGCCACATCAGCTCCGTCTCTGGTTCACTTCTGACTTTGGAAGCAGTTGAAGTAAAAAAAAAAAAAGCAGGCAGGATTTTGATTTTACTTACGATTGCTGCACAAACAAGTCGATGGCATTTCTCCATGAAACACCACTTCTTTTAGTTTTTCGGCTGATGTTTCATAAACCTGCCAAAGTATAAACCTGCTGAGAGCATTGCTCCTCCTGCTGAGGCCCTGTCGAGCTCTCCTTTTTTTGTTTTTATTTTTATCTTAAACAAGAGAGGCTTTTTGTCTGCGACGGCCATAGACTTTTACCTCGGGTGCAAGGAGCGCGCCAGGAATCCCCCTCTGCTGCCACSGGTCAGTTGTGGCAGAAGTGAGGGGAGGACACAGCTTGTTGATTTTTATAAGTTTATAACAAATTTTTAAAAAATGGGGAAAAAAAAGTCAAGCAGGGGATGAGTCGATTCCAAACGGCAAAATCTTGTCAACCCTCAGAATGTAAGACAATGCCTTTTTTTTTGTTTTTGTTTTGTTTTTGTTTTTTCTGATGGAAAAAATGTAAAACTAACCCAAACATCAAACTATAAACATACTTTCTACATGACTGTTGTGTTACAGCTGATGAGGACGTCTCAGATCATCAGTTTCTAGAATAAAATCTGGTTATTAAAGTATTTCAGCTCAGGYTGAGGACAGAGATTTCAGGCCAACCATTAATAAAAATCAGCTGAGAGGGAAACATTACTGTTAAAATGATCATTGAACTTTTCCTTCTCATTTTGTTCCTTCTGTTCGCAGTCAGAATGCTTAAAATGTGGCACAATGTATTTAAGAAAATCCTGGTGTTTAACCTGCAGCCGTTTCTTTCCGGTATGAGCTGAAAATATCTCCACTGTACAAAAACTGCAAAGCATGTTCATCCTGATCTGTAGCTGTACGTAGCTGCGCTGGTTTCCTTTCACAGCAGTTCTGTTGCTTCATTTAGGAAAAGAAATCTGTTGTAACTCTGGCTGGAAACCTGCTCTAATCTCCAGTTTTTATTTGTTTTGTTGGTTTTCTGCACCAGTTTGAAGAGCAGAACTTGATGGTTTTGTTTCGTTTTTCTCAGCTTCAACCACGTCTCCAAACTTTGGGATCCCTCTTGTCTTGACGGTTACCATAGGACTGCTTCCATCATGACTTTTCCAACAGTTTGCTTTATTTACAAAATGAATCCTCCTCGTTGCCCCTCCCCCCCTCTGTGCTGAAACCTACATTTATATATGGCTGCGTGTATTAACCATGTATACATGTACYGAACACGGAGGTAAAACTCTTGTGTATTTTTGCCTCTTTTTATTTAAGCAATTGTGATGTAATAGGTTTTAGGCCTAAGGTCTGTTATTGCAATACTTTTACAGAAAAGAAGAAAAAATCAAAAACTGTTGCTCTAAGTGCTGTTGTAGTCAAAGATTTTATGCTTGTACTTATGCTGTAGTCAGACTGCAGCGTAACAAATAAAACTTTAAAAGTGACTCGTGTTCTGACTCTTTGTTCTGATGACAGGTTACAAGCTGTTGGGATTGGGATTACAGTGAGTCATGAAAACATGAGCAGGGTTTCAGACGTGCTCTGTGATGCAGACTGAAACAAACTCTGCACACATTAAAACACTCAGTGAGTCAAACATTTTAAATTAAATTTGTTGATTTTTACTAAATAACATACATTGAAGTTGTGCAAGAACACTAAATAATTATAAACTATTTTTTTTTATTCTTAAAGCTCCCAATTTGCAATTGTATTCATCCCTCTTGGT